AACAGGTATCAACTAAATATGGGCAATATATCGGTGTGTTTCTATCCACTTTTTCGTCAATAATGCCCACAAAAATACTAAACTGCAACAATACACAATGAAAAGCAATACACAGAAACACATAACCCAATAACAAAATAGCACCATACGCGACGTTGCCGTCATTTCCAACTTCATGGCTTGTTAAGTATAGGAGGCTGTGCCTGTGTAGTTCAAATCTCAAGCCCCCCTGCCATGCCAAAGTAGCAGTGATGACGTAGACAGCGTGTCGTTTCTCGTCTTTGCGTAGGGTGTTTGCACCACAGGTTATGATTCCGCGGGCTTTTGCTTTATGCAAACTTGGTTCTACTACATGAATTATTAATTAACATTACAAAACAACTCTTTTTCATATCTCGTTTGCATTTTCCTCTTCGCCTTCAATCAAAATTAATTAACATTTTTCATCAAAAATTTAAAAACGACCGCTGGCGCAAATAGCTGACGACTTCGTGAGTTCAGCAATGGTGCTACACCATATGACCGCGATTACCAAATACGAGGCCGATAAGCAATCCTTAGTGTGTATTATCCTTGGCCATAAGGGTGGTCACTTGACAGATCATTTGACAGAAAAAAGATGATGGAATGGAATGCAAGGAGCATATATCGGGAGTGCGTTCAAATACGGCAATGCTTATGCCAAAGCCTACTATTCCCCTTCTACCGGCGATGCCAAATCTGGTGTGAATTCGCTGGAACGCCAAATACCGTTTCTCAATAAGCAATCCAAACCACGTGACATTCAATATGGCGTGGCGACCATACATGGACCAAAAAACACAAAAAATATCTAGTTTCTGCCCGACTTAATAGTTTACGTAATTAGTTAACAAATATTTTATTGAATAATCAAAATCGAAGCTGCAAACAAACAAAATAATTGAAATATGCATGAAAACACATAATCAAAACTAATTTGCTGGTCGCCACGCCATATTGAATTTGATCTCATCCAATCAATTAGGCAATTCAAACCACGTGACACTCAAGATGGCGTGGCGGCCACACATGGGCCAAAAAACATAAAAAAATATCTATTTTCTGCCCGATTTAATAGTTTAGGTACCTAGCCAATAAATATCGTATTAAAAAATCAAAATCAAAGTTACAAGTAAAAATCTAAGCAAAATAATTTAAAATACACATAAAAACATATTCAAAACAAGCTTGCTTGGCCGCCACGCCATATTGAATTTTCATTTTTGACAGATGGATTAAATTACCTAATGAACTATAACCAAAAACTGGAATGCTAACACATAAGGACGAACGTGAAGCCTAGTGCGGCTGCTGCGGAGGGGATACCTGTTTTTGTCGCACTCATTATGTTAAATGGCGAAAATTGCTTCCAACACGTATTCCAGTCGATGAAACTACGATGAAACCTGTGAAGGGAAATATGACAAAACTTTCGAAAACGTCATATGTCAGCGAGCAACAGAAAAAAACAACATTCCCCTTTGTGGCATCTGTCTTTCATGGCTACATTTTTTTGGCAGATATGGCAATGTGTGCGCATTCCAGTTTTTAGCTTAATAGTTCATTGCATCCAATCAAAATTCGTATAACCATTTCTAGACTCAGTTGAAAGAGCCTCCAAAAGTTACTTTATCGCGGCCGATTTGGAACGTGTAAAGCCAACTGTTTTTGGCACGCTGGAGCCGAACTTGAACGCAATATGCCAATTTTGGCTCGGCTTTAGCCGTTTTTGAACGCAACCCCGGGCTGCGTTCAGGAATGGCTACTGCCAAGCCAAAATTGGCATTTTGCGTTCAAGTTTGGCTCCAACCCGCTCCAACCTACGTCGTTCGGCATTACCGGTGGAGGGGGAAAAGTAGGTTTTGGCATTAGCATTGCCGTCTTTGAACGCACCCCCGATATGATATAAGAGAAGAGAAAACATCAACTCCTATTTCCTATTTAGGTATGTCACATTGGGGCCGTACGTAGCTTCAGATTGGAAAGCCGCGAAACAGACCAAAAATAAAGAGAATGTAAAATTTTTCAAATTACACGCAAAATACACGCTTTTTGTTTATGTTCGAAAAGTACACGCAAGCTAATCATAATACATGCAAATCGTGTAATTACACGCTAATTGGCAACACTGGCGCTATGGTGGTAGTGAACACGTGCTGCATATAAGCTAAGAATTTTACGATTTTTAATTCTTAAAATAGTAAGACTTGTGACACCTATATGAATACGATTAACCCAAAATAAATCCTTTTGCCAAAATATACACTTCAATGGCTAATGATTGTGAAATTTTGAAGTATTAAAAAATAATGGTTTTTGAGATTTTAATTTATTTTAAAAAAAGTGTGACCTTGCAAGCCACTCGTAGGTGTCTTTGCCTTATATATTTCTTACCGTTTTTGGTTTTTTAGATCAAAATATGGGTCGAATCTACAAAAAAAAAATAGGCAGCCGGCACTACAAAAACTATAATGAAGATACTGTAAAAGAAGCAGTGCGAAATATTTTAAGCAATGACTTAAGTGATTTTGATATTTTGATGTTTTGATATTTAAATCGTATTTTTTTTGCTTCCAACAATGAAAAAAAAAAATGGTACCTTTTTTAAAATCATATTTGAAGGCAAACTAACCCATATTCTCTCTTACATATAGATTTAGGTGGTTTTAAACGCGTTGGCAAAGTGTCACCAATTTGCAGGAGACTTTGCCAGATTTTTAACAAAAAAAAATAAATAGAAGCAGTGCTTTCTAATTGTTTGTGTTTACAGGCATCTATAGCCAGAACATGGAATTTATACATAGTCTGTAGCCATACAAATTGCTATATCGGTTAAAAAAATATCAGAGAAAAGGTCTGAAAACCGTGGCAAAGTATACCGACACTACGGTACCCAGAGTTCGCTGTTCGGCTATTGTCGGGTTTGCTCCGGCTGTGACGGCTAGACTCTCAGCGGTTTTAGTATGTATCTGGTTTATATATTAATTTTGGTCATACAAAAGTTGTATTTCTCTCTGTTAAGCGTCAGACTATATTTCTTAACGACCTATAAGAATTGTTCAAGATTTGTATCATGGTGTTCCTAATTTTTACCACAGATGATTACGTCATCAAGCATTTTATATTGTGTCTTCTAAATGTTTGTTTGATAATGTTATTCATATTTCTCTAGAAACAAGTAACGCCATTAGTCACCCCAAAAGGAATTTGAGTGAATTGGTGCAGATTTCCTCGTGCTTCAAAAGCAGCGTATATACGTTCTTATGCCCTAGAATTGGTATCTGGTGATTTGCACTATGAAGATCTATTGAACTGAAGTATTCATACTGAGAAATTCGGTTGACCATATCTTCAATGGGTAATGGGTATGCCATGCTAAATATGTATATCTATTTATGGTCAATGATGAGTAGTCTATTATGTATATAACCATTTGCATCTTATGATTTTCATTACTGGTCACAAGCACCTTGGCTCTCCACAGGAAAATATCTTGGCTGGTAGTTCTTCTAGAATGTAAAGTTTGCTATTTTTACCATTCCGTTTTGTGGGAAATATTTCAATGTCTTTCTTTTACAACTGTGTAGGAAATATCCGAACCACCTGTGCCGACCTGTGCCTCGACCATAAATCCATTGATTTGCATTTCGATTAGGGCTTTTGATAAATTGGCAGGAGAAGTAATTCCAGACATCCCCATTAAAAGAGCAGCAGTTGTTATCTTAGTAGAATAAGGCTTTTGATTTTTCAATTCACAGACCTGCGTGAAATGCCCTTTTTTTTTGCAGTTGTAACAAATAGAATTTTTTGCTGGAAATTTATCTCTGGGATGTCTGTGGTATCTACCACAAAAATAGCGTTTCGTTTAGAAGTGACAGCTGCTATAACATGGTCATTTTTGATCTGTACATTCGAAGAAGAATTGTCAGGAGTTTGATGAGAGATCGCAGCATTCATATTTGAACAGAAAAATGTGAGATAAGATTCGGAATCATACTGAGCAATTTCAAGTGCTCTAGCAGTAGGTATCAAATGCTTGTGTTAAGCTTAAACTAAAATGTTCCAAAAACCTCTGTCCTGTATTATGAGAAGAAGTGATAAGACTAAATCTCTGATGTAATTGTAGGTATCTATTTTGATCTGCACTGCCTGCTTTAAAATTGCAGTTTGAATCATAAGCTTCGGGGCTTGTAAATATTGGTCTATAAGTCTATAGACTCACCAACTTGTTGTTTTCTTATGAATAATGGAGTGGCTGGCAAATATCTCATTCTTTGGCGAGCCATATGTTTTTCAAAATATTACCTAATGCATCTTCATAAATGACGCATTCATTTATATATTCAAAAATAGCAGGACAAACGTAATTGATTAGCAGATTACGATTATCTTCATCTTCTTCCACTTTTGCAGCTTCCAAAAAGTTTCTAAAAGTTCGATTCCAATAAATCCATTAATGAACGGCTTTGTTGGAGTTAATGTCTATATCCATTCTAACTGGTTTAAGTAATTTATTAAATTGAAGAACCGGATCGAACCTCAGCAATTTGATTTTTCAAAAGTTTCATCCAGTGGCGCAGCCAGAAACTTTTTCTGGGGAGGGCCATGCAGAAAAAAATATAGGAAAAAACACAGATTCGCTTTCCTTTAATTTTTTCTGCTATGAGCAGTTTACAGCTTTTGTCTACTTTGTTATTTTTCTATTTTTCTCTAAAGCCTTGGGGGGGGGGGCGGGCCCCCTGGCCGCGCCACTGGTTTCATCACAGCTTTAAAAAAATTTCGTTTCAAGGCTCTAGGTCCGCTGATTTTTGGGTTATGAATGAACCACGTATACTTCTTATATCCCACCAAAACATTACTCAAAGAAAATGTAAACAAGAACAGCAAAATAATCCGATTTATTTTAATTTAATTATCAATGTCCTTCGATATCTTATCTTTTTCTAAAATTCAAGATAAGCATTTATTTACATGTAGTACTTTGTGTTAGTTGCCACTTAAATTAACCCAGATTTTGTTGATATTTATTTATCCAGATGCCAGTACCTTTTACTTTTACATACAAAACCTACTTCGAAGTGGGATGTTACGTAGTTTTGTTATTTTTCGTTGTGCCTATTAGAATTGACAATGATTATGAGATTAGGGAACAATTTATGCAATATGTGAAGGACTTTAATAAATCTTACCTGGACGAGAATATTTTCAATATACGATTTGATGCTTTTAAGGTAAGAACATGAATGATTCTACAAGTCACTTTTCTCTTTTATAGGTACTCTGCCTATATGAAATATAGGTACAATACTTTATTCATTCCCATTTCCTCATGTCTCCTATATTATTTTTTATTCAGAAATCACTAGAGACCATCAATCAGCTGAACAGTAACAGGACTAACACGTCTGCGCATTACGGCTTAACAAAATTTTCTGATCTATCACCTGAGGAGTTTCTGTTGATTCAGAATAACCGACGGAATACTGATGCTCTTGTAGGAAATGATTTTGGGGAATTGCAAAATCGAGTTTCCAAGCGGAGCACTTATTGGAAAAATGTGCCACAAAAAGTCGACTGGAGGAAAAAGGGAGTAGTGTCTGGAGTCAAATACCAAAAAAATTGTGGAGCGTGCTGGGCATTTTCTGTTACAGAGACTATAGAAAGTATGCAGGTAAAATTGAATTTGTGCAAGTTATACAAGCATCTATTTTTCTTTTGTTTCTCTTTATTCTTATGGATTCATTCAAGACACATATTTATTTTGAAATCAATTAGATCAGGTAGTAATTACCTATAATATTTTTTTTTTGTTATAGGCAATCAAGAACAAAAATCTAACAGAACTGAGCGTTCAACAGATGATAGATTGTTCAATCTACAATAATGGCTGTCAAGGAGGAGACACTTGTAGCCTATTGAGCTGGATCAAAGATTCCAATGTGACTATTGAGACTGAAACTGATTATCCTCTTGTACTTAGAGACCAAAAATGCAGAAAAACTACTAATTTTCATGGTGGAGTTAGGATTAATGACTATGTTTGTGATACGTAAGTATAGACTTATAACAATATTTGGGGTTTTGAACCCTTATGAAAAGCTTTTCTAAACTTAAGTCACTTGAAAATCAAATCTTTGAGATAAATTTACATAATAGCAATCAGCATTAAGTCAGTTTATTCCAATCTAAATATATGTTTTTTTTTTTTTTTAGTTTTATAGGCAGAGAAGACATTATCCTGAAGCTCCTAGCTACCAATGGTCCAGTCGTTGTCAGTGTGAGCGGTGAAACGTGGCAAAACTATGTTGGGGGTGTGATACAGTTTCACTGTGACGGCGAAATAAGTCATGCAGTCCAAATTGTTGGATACGATTTGACAGCAGAAGTCCCTTACTATATAGCACGGAACTCTTGGGGGGAAGATTTTGGTGATAAAGGCTATTTGTATTTGGCCATCGGCAGTAATATTTGTCATTTAGCCTATGAGGTTGCAGCTGTTACTGTAGCGTGATAAAGAAATATTTATTTTGAATAATAGGATAGAATTAATATGAGATGAAGCGAGGTCAAAAAAATTCTGGAAAAATACGTTCTTATTCAGACTTGACTGAAACTGTTGTCCCGTGTCCCGATTTGGTTGTTATTAAAATAAGTTGGTTTTTCTAATCCTTTATTTACTTAGTTGTTATTTTGTTTTAATTTTCAATTATAGTTTCTTATTTTCTACTACTCACTCACTAGCTGTTTTTATTTGTTACATAATTATAGTTATACCCATGGATTTATATTTGCTGCTGATATATGAAAAATTGTGAGGAATTTTTGTGATTATCTGGGTTTCTATATTGGCTATATTAGCCCAACGATATTAACACCTATAACAAAAGTTAGAGATAATGAAATTCCTAAGGAGTTTTGTTGCAAACTTTTTTTAATAAAATGAATCGTTCCTGAGATAGAGTGCTAAGAGTGGAAGCCCTATGCTCCAGATTTTGACCTAAGTATAAACTAAAGGGACCTAACGGTGCATTTTTGCGTACACGTTGTTGTTATGGGTCTAAATAATTGGTGAAAGTTCCCATCAATTCGGTGATTATTTGGGCTGTTACGAAGGGTCCTAGGCCAGGAATGCGTTTATCAATATCTCGAAAAAAAAAAAAACTTCGATCATTAAATTTGTTCCAAATTTGGTCTTGGGTACATTGCTCTACAATTAGCTGTTCTTGAGACACAGCGCACAATTTAAACAAAGATGAGGGGCCATTCTCGAAATGATAGATACCAAGCTGTTAACTCTCTCTTACTAGAAGATATCAGGAAAATTTCAATAACCTGTCCTGTTTGATATCAAACCAAGGTTCCATAGAAATCAAGGGACCATCATTAAAGCTACTACCCCTTTCGAAAGAATAAATGTAGATTTTAAAGGTCCATTGCCATCTGAGAACCAAAATCGCTATATTTTGACTATTATGGATGAATTTCTAGATAACCATTTGCCTTTGCTCGTCCTGACATGACCTCATCAACCATTATAAATTGCTTAACTCAACTTTTTTGTTTGTTTTTGGGACACCATTCGTACCTGGGGGATATCATTTATATCTGATGAACTGAAAGCATTCTCAACACGATATGGGATTGCAACTAGTCGCACTACTCCATATAACCCGCAAGGAAACAGGCAGTGTAAACGGTATATAATGGTATTACATGGAAAACTATTCATTTAGCTCTATATAAATTGAGACACATCGATATAGGATATTGGCAGCAGGCAGCAGGTACCTACTGGTCGACCCTTTACATTCAATAAGATCTTTGTTATGTACCGCAGCAACAAATTTTTCACCTCATGAAAGATGTTCTGTCAATGGTTTTTCAATACCAACCTTGTTGAGTATTCCTGGTACAGTATTCGTGAAGAAACATGCAACATGCAAGACAAAGCAAGTATTAACCGATCGTGGAAGAAGTGCAATTTCTAAAAGATAATTCTGTTTATGCTCATATTACCCTAGGGAAATTAGACTTCCTCTGCGGTATGAGGCCGAACAAGCTGAATTTTTGCAGAGACCTTCGTTTTGATATTCTAATGAAACACAAAAAAATCGAATATGCCTACCCTTGTGCGTCTTGAGATATCGAAGGTCAAAGGTCACGAAAATCGTTTTTTTGCGAAAATCTTGCTTCCAGTAGATCTGACGTCAAAGAACACAAAACAAAACTTACGCAAAATAGTATTTCTTACAAAATTGTTCATATAAGTACATTTTTTTATACGACCAACCGTTTTCGAAATATAGCGTGATAAAGGGGAGCGCATATTCAAAATAGGTGATACTGTATTATACAGGGTGTCCCCGTTCAACTGGTCAAAAATGCTAGGGTATATAGAGGAACCATAGAGAAGTAATTTGAGATAGGACACCGATGGTCGGAAGTGCGTCGTTTCCAAAATACAGGGTGTTGAAATTTAAATAACCCCCATGCATATCATCTGGAGGGCTAATGCTAGGCTGTTCAAATTTTCAGGGATTATTGATGTAGGAATGATATTTGAAAATTCGTATAATGCACCCCCATTTTCTTCCTAGAACTACCCCTAATCTAATGGTGAAGAAATAACTGTGTCTACACGTCACCTTGCGCCAAGAGGAGATCCTTCACTGCATCAAAAAACGTCAAATGAAGATATGAATGTAGAATGCATCAGAATAAATAGAAATGAACCTAATAATCAAAACAACGATCCCATGCAACAATTTAATTACGATAATTCTGATGCTGGAAATCTTGATAGGACACCTGCTGTAACACCAATAAGGAATCTAGACGATGAAATTGTAGAAAATATAACTGAGTATGCCTCAAACCGACCAAAACGTCTAAAGAACTTTCCTGTTAAAAGATTATGAAACCGATTAGGGATGAATGTTATATAGAAACTTTTAGAATGTCCTGCACTTTATACCTCTGTTAGGTACTTTTATTAATCGTCAACCTTGACAGTCTTTCAATGTAAGTTATATGCTCTGTATAGTGTATAGTAAGATTCTGAGTTTATTAGCCTGCTGGCAGTTGGAGCCAATATCCCTAGCTTCAAGGTAGTCATTCCAGAGGAATTTAAAAACAATATTAATCGCATGGCTTAACTGAAAACCTCACCAAAGCATGTGAAACTTGCTAAAAGATCAAAATATGTCAAAGGAATCTTAGTACTTCACTCACTGAAATTCCATTTGTAAGGATGATAAACATATAGATCTCTTTGAATTCCTGGTTCGCAACTATGAAGTTACCAATTTCAGGCATCAACAGTCAACAGTCGTGAATACGACTTCTACTGGTTTTCCAAAACTTTAGTACATCTTTGAAAATCCACTGGGATTGTAAATGTATGAGCTTTGTTCAAATACCTGCGATAACTCCGCAAATATTAATTATTCCGTTAACAACCTTAACATATCTGTAACACCAAGAAAAACTTTGACAATTTCATGGTATTTCTAAGTTCATTCAAGTTTAACTTCGATGTGATAGGTGTTTCAGAGACTCATACTGTTAGTAACATATCAAATGTTCAAATACCAAGCTATGATTATTTTTTTAATGGCAGTATACAGAATAAATGTGACGGATTTATGTTGTATGTAAGGAGTAATTTGGTTAGGGATAGCAAAATTATAACTATAGGCTCAACACATTTTGTTAGAGTAGGAGTAGGTAATGTTAAGTAAAAATAGCACAACAATTAATTGGTATAGAGGGATATTATAGGCTTCCATCTTTGAATGTGGAAGACTTTATGATGCATTTGGATGAGCTGTTGTCTGTAAAAATAGGTAAAAAACAAGAATTGGAATTGTTTGGAGACATAAATATTAATATTCTTTCTAAGGATACCTTGGTAGTTACAGAATAACTGAATTGTTTGCTGGGAAAAGGTTACTGCTGTACAGTAAACTAACCCACTTGGGTGAGACAGATGCAAATGCCTTCATGTCTAGATCATATTTTTATTGGAGATATAGCTAAGTCTTTTAATAAAGAGTCAAAAATACTGTATAGAGAATGTTTTGTTTTCTACCGATGTTGATATCTGTACAAACGCATTTATCGGAACATTTAAAGGTCATACTGCTTCTGCAACTGAATCAAAATATGTTAAAAGCAAAGATAGGAGGTTGAAGCCCTGGATTACACAGGGCCTAATTAAATGCATTAGGAAAAGGGACAAGTTGAAAAGGATCAGTGTTGTATTAGAAACGGAGGAAGCATACAATGAATTCAGAGAATATGGGAATAGGCTAGGTAGGTACTAGGTACTCTTAAAAACCACTAAAAATAACTAAAGCTGAATCTAACAAAAAATAATGATGCTTAGGACTAGGAATTAAACTCCTGGACAAAATTATCGCACCACTGCACATAAGCATCGCCATAAGCAGTGGTGCGATAATTTTGTCCAGGAGTATATATCACAAACGAAGAAACTAAAGGGCAATACCAATGTTCAGTCAGTGATGGATGAGCAAAATAGGAAACAGTACAGAATTAGAGATGGTAGAGGTTTTCAATAATTATCTTTGTGAGGGGAAAACATTGGCTGATAAAATTAAAGTACCTGATGTACAATTTAATGTGGAAAAGGTAAATGAAACTAGAACATTATTCCCAAGACCAACCTCTGAAAATGAACTGATTATTGAAATAAATTCTCTAAAAAATAATGCTGCCCTTGAGCAGGACGGAATCACGGTAAAATTTTTAAAAGATTTTCATAACTATCTGACTGGACCACTTATTTATCTTATAAATCTAATTTTTGAGACTGGGCAATTTCCGAAATGTTTTAAACATGCGATCGTTACTCCAATTTACAAGGCTGATGATAGGAAAATAGCTAGGAATGTTACAGGCCAATAGCATTAACAAGCAACGTTTCAACGCTCATTGAGAAATGCATTAAATTGTGTCTGGGAAGTTTTTTAATGGAAAATAAAATTATATCGCATCAACAGTTTAAATTTCGGCAAAATGTTAGTACTGAAGATGCTGTCGTTTGTATGACGGATCTGATCTATCAGTCTTTTATGGAGAATAAGTGTTGCATGGAAATATTCCTGGACCTGAGCAAGGAGTTTGACACTATGACACACCGAATGTTATTAAAAAAACTGAAAGAGGAATTGTATTTCAGTTATTTAGGTCATACTTGGAAGATAGAACATAGTGTTGAAATTAAAAATGTTGTCGGCTTGAACAAAAATGTGGATTTCGGTCTGCCACTGGCTTCAGTGCTGGGTCCGGTCTTATTTTCTATATATGTCAATCAACTGGTGAGTCTTTTGTCTCCAGAACAGGTTGATGGTGGTGTGTTTCGCGGATGACACTGCAGTCATTGTCAAAGGTAAGGACTGGGCTGAAGTTGGAAGGAATGCTGAAGGCTCATTGGAGAGTATTAAAGCTTTCATTCATTTAAGGCCATTTATCAAGCAAATGCAAGCTTGACAAAGGATATACTTTTTTATTCATGAGACAAAATTTTTTACTAATGTTTCTAATAACAATTGCATTGGATATAGTACATATCTGCTTTGCCTCTACAAATTACGATCCTTTTCTTATTAAAAATAACGATATTAGGCTGAGCTCTGGTAAACATATTTTTATTTCCTCCTTGCAATACAATTTTTTAGGCTTTAGTTAGGTAATGCATTGACATTTATAAGCATTTTTTAAACTTGTTTCCTCAACGATTTGAAATTATCTTCAATCTCATTTCTAAGATAATTTCAGGTTGATTGTTGTTGAAATTGTTCATTCTTTGTTATCTCTGTACTTAACTAGAATGTGGTTCTTAAATTACAGATTCTTTTCTTGACTATCTTGGTTGCTAGTAGGTGAGCAGGCTGATGGTGATGAGTTTGATGATGTTTCTTTAATTAAAGCCTTGACCCTTAAATTTCCATTTTCAACCATTGGATGTAAATTACGTGAAGGTATAGCTGCAACGGAAAAAAAACATTGGATAAAATGGATACAATACAGCCGAGTTTCGCTACTGTGAGCATTAACAAGTTTTGCTCCATATTGTCATTATTGATAAAGATAGAGTAGAGATAATGGGTTCAGGACTTTGGAAATAAAACTCCTTTTTTCAAAAAATTTTTTGAAAAAAGGGAGTTCTATCTCAAACACTAAGGACGGTATCTATAAAGATTAGTGATAAAAATATGCAATGCAAATATGTATAGATAACCAATGCAATGAATATGTAATATCCTTATTTACTCTATGATTTTCATAATATAACAATTTCAAAGGAATATTGTTTTGTCGAACTAGCTCAAAGATTGATCTAAAAGAGTAGAGAGGAGTTCAGAACCAAATCTTCACCTGTACTTTTCAGTTTCCTTTTTGCTTTCACTTTTAAAAATTCGGCCTGTAAGTTCCTCACAAAATCATCTTCGGTAAAATGTTCAGAACATATACGGCTATTTTCTGGTGTCCATTCGCCGCTCCTTTGACATTTTTCAATCCATAGTCTTCGATATTCCTGGTCTTTAGGGAAAGTAAAGAAAGAATAATTTTTGTCAGCTTTGCGAATGTGATGATTATTGCAATAGGCAACGGCACAGTATATTCCGGGCATTTTGGACACTGAAATAGAAAAAGTGTGATAATGTTCTGCATCGGATCGAGATTTGGATAATCATATTTTGGGAAAATATGAATTTTGAGAGGAAAAAGTTAGGGAAAGAATTCTTTCTGCAATATATTCTTACACTTTAAACGCAACATGGTAAACCCCTATAACAATAACAGTGAACTGGAAGGATATGTTTTTAGCATTTATTACAGAATAAGATGACCTCCAAGATCATTGACCATTCTGGATGTTCTGGCAATGGCAACCCAAGAAAAGTGAACAAACGACACCCTCCTACTGGTTTTTCATCCTCAGGGACACAAGAGCCAAACACAGAAGGGCTGCTTATAAAATATAAAATTGCTTACCTAGGTACGGTAAAGTAGACTGCAAAGTGTGCGGTAAAGTAAAGCCTTTGGTATTTATAAAATCAAAAATCCCTTTTCTTTCAGAACAGCAATTTCAGTAATGCCTTTTTATGGATATATAGATGTGGATCTCTTTCCGCATTTGTTAGGTAAATAACTAATATATAACAAACAACAAACATAGTCAAAGCCAAAGCAAAATACAAAAGTACAAAAGTAGGGTTAGGTTAAAGACAGCAAACGTGTAGGTGTTTTCTTTTATTCAGCGGGTGGATCTGAACGAACTGAATTGGTTTATTTGATTGTCAGCTGTATCCGCCGTATCTTCAAGTTCTTTGTATTGTTGTTTCACCAAAACACTCCACCAAATAGAACTCATTCATTGCTGCTTATCCAAATAAGGCATACCACTGGTCTGCGGGTGACGTTAGCGCTATCAGCAGTTGATAGTTTTGACGTCACCCGCAGACCTTGATGGATTGCTTGCGATCCAGGCTGTGCTTGTGAGTTAACTTTTCGTCGATTTGACAAGTAGAAAACGTGATCTTAACGTTTAGGGATTCGTTTTTTTGACCAAGTGTTTTAAACTCGAATAATGCATTTTACGCCAAATAGTGAGGTCTGCGGCTGACGTCACAAATAGTGGGGAGTTGTCGCGTGGACATAACAGACAGTTTCAGCTCAATCAGCAGTCCTATTAGGAAAGTGTTCTTGGTTATTTTAAGCGATTCGATTCAAGACCTTCTTGGTTTCATATCATAATCACTAAAATAACGACACAGGTAGGTATACTATTAGGCAATTTTCCGAGAAGATAATTAAGCATCAACTGCATCAAGGTTGTTTGAGAGAAGTAGGTTGCAGGTTGCCTGCAAGGTTCCTAACTTTTTTGACGACATCTGGGGTGCCTCAAGATAATGGGCAATTTTTCAGGAGGATAATCAAGCATAATCCGATCATGCTGGCTGGGTTATGTGATGCGTCAATTGTGTCATACTCCCCTAACTCCTTCTCCATCAAATTCTGGGCCTGCGAGTGACGTCACTATCAGCAGCTTATATTGATGACATCACCCGCAGACCCCAATGGAATGCTTGCGTATCAAACTGTGCTTTTTTCGTCGATTTCAAATGTAGAAAAGGTGATTTTCGGTTTGTTCTCACAGAAGAAATTAAGTGTTCTCGATCCTCGAGTATCCCAGAATTCGATGGTGGAGGAGTTGAGGGAGTATGACACAATTGACACATCACATAATCCAGCAAACAGAATATGTTTGATTATCCTCGCGAAAAATCGCCTGATGCAAATCTCCATAAGGCACCCCAAATAACCCCTTACCAGACAATCTATTAACTTTAGGAACCTTGATCAAGGATAATCTAAAAATCTAGGATGGCGTTCTGTGACTGTATCTTATCCAGAGTTACCGGTCCGTAAGTAGCGATTCGTCTATGGTAATAGTCTGGTAAGTCTGGTTCCTGAAAATGCGGTTTATGTGTAGAACGCTTCCGTTCAGCTTTGGTTTGACTTGGATGCTAGATGATAGAATATCCTATCCTCCTAAAAATATATTTGTACTAATCAATAGCCATGAATGAATGTCATATTAGCTCTTGTTTCATTTTCACCGCAAATACACTTCGAAAGCGGAAGAGAAATTAGGCAATCCAATCCACCTGTCAAAACGAAAAATTCAATATGGCGTGGCGGCCAGCAAGTTTGTTATGAACATATGTTTTCTTGCATATTTCAATGGGAATGTTCACTATTTTTCAATTGTGATAAAAAGTAGTGGTTCTAGGTCCACAAAACACGTATTGAACGTTAAAACATCTAGAAACCCTTCATTTTTTCTGATAGGTCGAAAAAAAAAAAAACGAAATTAGCGAGGCTAGCAAAACCACCCCCTAGCGCTTGTGACGTCACTATGCGGAAAGATTTTGCCTACAATATATTTGTCTCTCTTCCGCTCATTGCAAAAAGTATTTGGACAATTAATAGAGTTCCCTACTCAGGGTGCTTTCTAAGATTCAATCACCAATTGGTTCATCAGTATCTTTATCTAAATGCATATAAAAGAAAAAGACACTAATAGTAATAATATTATTAATATTTTTTATTGCCAACAAAAATCGTAAAAGCAACGTCACAAAAGGCTGATCCAAGTAGAAAGTAGCGCCACACTGTACTTGCGCGCGCCAACTCGTTGCGCATTGTGACGTCAGAGAGCGTTTCGTGCGTTTAAACGAATATTAATATTTCGTCTCCGTTTTTATCACAGAAGGAATTTTCTGATTTTCGTAAAATTTTGTAGATTTACTTATGAAAGGATGCTTAATCATTTGATGATTGTTAAACGGGATTTTTTTTATTTTGTGAACATTGGTATTATTTTGCTTCGAGTTGTGCTTGCAGCTTTGATTTTGATTATTCAAGAAAAAACTTGTTCACTAGGTAAGTAAACTATTGTCGGACAAAAACTAGATATTTTTTTGTGTTTTCTGGTCCATGTGTGGCCGCCACGCCATCTTGAATGTCACGTGGTTTGGATTGCCTAAGAAAAAAGATTAAAAAATAACCTAACCTAACAAACAACAAACAAATGTCAGAAATTGAAAACGAACCGAAAAAAACCAAGCTTTTTGATCGGTAGATTCGGTTGACAGCAGGGACCGAATTTTTCAGGAACCGCGTTTCCTAACCCAACCAGATTTCAGGAGCTTAGAGTGAGAATTCTCCTTGTGTTAAGGCTGGTTTATGTGAAGTGTCAATTGCGTCATTCTCCCCTCACAAGCAAATTCTGGTATACTCAAGGATACTCTAGGTCAAGAACACTTAATAGGACTGTTTATTGAACTGAAAGTGTCTGCATGTCAGCCGCAGATCGAAACTATTGGCGTAAAATGAATTTGCCAAGCTTAAAATACTATAGGTCAAAAGAACAACTTCCTAAAATGTTAAAATTCTATTAATCACCTTTCATACATTTAAAATCGACGAAAAAATTAACTCACAAGCACAGCCTGAATCGCAAATATTCCATTGAGGTCTGCGGGCGACGTCACCCCTATCAGCGAGCAATCCTGTTAGTTTACGATTTGACTCTGGGTTATGTCGCTAAAGTAACAGATGAAAGGCTTGAGCCATTGTTGAACCAGTGTTCCCAACTGCAGGGAATTTTCCCTTTTAAGGGAATTTTGGCACCCAAAAAGGAAAAAGGGATTTTTTTAATAAAAATGTCGAAATGAGGGAATTTTTGGGAAATAGAAGTTTGGCATCGATGAAGATAGAAGTTGTGTTCAGCACGGATTTGGAGTGGAGTAAGCGATGTCACTCTACCTACGCCGAAAAGCAATACTCGAACGCCTGGAGTGGGTACGGAGTTACGTGGAGTGAATAGCCGAACGCAGCAAGGTTCGGTTTCGGGGGTTCCCGGTTGTATTTATTTTAGTGCTCATGCTTAATTTTTGCAATTTGTTTGTAATCCGTTTAATCATCCAAACGACTCAATTTTTTGTTTTATTACATACACAATAGAAAGAAGATATTTTTGGTTTTGATATAGGTAGTCATTTGGCATTTACTTAGATGTACTCGTAAAGCTTTTTCGGAAACACTGATCCGACTAACCCGATGACCAACTGTTTGTTTTTTATCTTTTTCTCATGAACACGATTGAAAAAAGACAAAGCACATCAGCTGGTGATCCGGTTAATCAGATCAGTGTTTCCGAAAATGCCTATTGGCAACATTGTAAGCAGGGAATTTTTTTCTCGCGAATACGGCAATTTGAAGATACCCCGACATAGGGCCATATTCTCGTTCATAAAGCCAGGCTTAGTGGAAAAGCTTGGCTTTGACACGCAAAAAGTAAAGCGTTTCCACTAGGCCAGGCTTTACGAATTACGGAGAATATGGCCCATAATCGAACATATTTGAAAAAGTCGCGAAAAATTGCCTATTTTTCAAATACCGAGAACTGAAAACATGGGTGGGTGTACCGAAATCGCTATGATCGCGGTGGGGCTGGGTGGATGCATTAGTTGTATTCCTTTCAATAGTTTGAAACACTCGAGCTACTCGCTCTGGTGCTCAGTCGTGCCCGATTTGTATGGAACAGATGCGTGGTGCAACAAACACTTTTCGAAAGGAATAAGCGCGTGAAGCCCCGGAGCTGTTCCGGAGCTCCTCCTAGGTGTGAAAGGAATACAACTATTGAAACTACACCCAAAAGTGCTGCCACCTAGTGAATATTTAAATGTTAGCTTACAAGTGATTGAACAAGAATCCTGTAGCACCTTACACTACCGTGGGACCATCTAGTATATTACTCACTATATAACTTATAAAGGATGAAATGAATTGGTTACAGACATTTATAGGTCTTATGGCCGTTTGCACCGACAATTTTAAGGGAGGTTTAACAATAATCCACGTTTAGAGTGACATTTTCACATGAAAAAATATCACAATAAACGTTGATTATCGTTAAACCTCCCTTAACATGGTCGGTGCAAACGCCCATTAGACATCCATATTGAAGGCTTAATAATTATACAGGGTGTTTTCTGAGCATGCGGCAAAAATTGTGTGCTAGCTATCTCGCTCCTTCGTCGCTCGTGGCCAAATTTCAAATTCGTGAGGGAATATTGTGGCATTCTGCAACGTATTTTAATCCACTGGACAGCTGAAAATAACGAAATAAATCGACACGAGTTAGGTATTTGAAAATATTTATACAGGGTATTCATTTTAAAACTTACTACCCCTATTATCTCGCAGTTGAAAAATTTTCGAAAAAATCCCTGAAACACGTCAACCAAGTATAATTTGAAAGGGGATGAGTTTCTATGCGAAATTCACCTCCCCCCTTTCAATCCGCCCAGCCTCCAGAGCCACCCCCTAGAAAATCTTTAATGGGAAAGGGGGTTGATTGATACATCATTTTGGAGGGTTTTTAATTGCATACATTCTGGTACTAAATTTTAATACCTAAGTTCAACTGTTTTGGAAATATTACAGTTGAAAATTGACTTTTTTGCAACTTTGACAGGCTGTAAAACCTAAACGGTTAATTTAAGAGGAAAACTGATTTTACATTCTTATTTGAGATTTTCATAAGCATCATTTGACATCAACTTTGAATTTAATCCATTATTGAAAATTCCAATTAAATTTAATCTCC